AGGCAGCGCGACGCTGGTGGCCCGACCTTCCAGGCATAAATGAATTTATATAATAATTTACGGTTGCCTCGAGCCGGTTGGGCCGGTCCACGGCGACGCGTTGCCGCCTGTTGCCGCGCTTGACGCGCGTTGCTATGCTACAACTTTCGTTAGTTTTCTAGAGAGCGCTTGGCAACGCTTGACGCGCTTGGGCGTCTACGCGCGCTAGAGTTTCTCACTCGCGCTTTCACGCGGTGGAAGGTTTACTGATGTAGGGCGCAATGACTAGCTAGCCGACGTCTGACCATTGTCAGCGAACAGAAAGAGCAGAAAGGTGGGCAGCGCTCAAAGAAGCAGGAGAAAAAGGACAGAGGCATGATGCAACTACGTAATGGGCCACATCATCTCGGCGAAGTCCGCGCGCCATTTGTCGGCGTGAGCCTCGAGGCACGGAAAACGGATCCATCGGCATTCGGCCATCGGCGCTCGAGCGGCCTTTGACGGGTTCGAGCACCGACGATCCCAACTGCAGCTGATTTTCCAGAACCAGTCCGCGCGCGGGCGTGGCGCTGTGGCGCTCAAGGAACACGAAAACTGCGCCAGCATGCGGCTACTTGACACATATCGATTGCTATATCGTTCATGACAGATTCTACAACATCCCATAACTTACAGGTAATAAAAAAGGAGATAGACTATGTGTTCTGTCCCATCCTCGTTGTCCCGGGCGCTTGTTCATAGCCGAGATCGGCACTGTCAATCTTCCAGACAGCGTCTATGTCAGGGCGGAGAGAAGCCAGAATAGACTGATAGATGGCGTGCGTGCGAGCTTCCGAGAACCCCGAGTATACAGCGGCAAGAGTATAGGCGCCAGAAAATCCAAGAGTGAAGTGAAATGATGATGTAGAATGCAGCAGGTGTGGCGAAAAGCCCTCACTCGACGTCCTCGCCCTCGTCTCCACCCGCGTTGATGAACCGCACAGACTTGCGCACGGGCTCGGACATTGCGACGCTGATCTCGCTCGTGGTCTGCGACGTGGAGACCACGCGCCCGCCTCCTCTGTGGGCGATGAAGCGGCTGAAGCGTGCGAAGCGCGAGGATGATGAGGTGGGTGTCGGCGGTGCTATCGATGACGGAGCGGTGGAGCCTGAAGCTGAGTCGTTGAACGTTTGCAACGATGCTTTGGGCGAGTACGCTGCTGGCGTATCCGCTGGTCGCGAAACCTTCAACGCCGAACGTGACGGTGGTGGTGGTAATGCGGGTGCGGCCCGAATGGGTGTAGATACGCTCGCTGTCATTCGGTGCGAATGTCGCCTGGGTAAACGTAGACTGCTCTCAACCGGTAGAGAGGAGGCACTCTCTACTCGTGCCAGTCGTGGAGAAGTCGGAGAAGTCGGAGAGGATAGGTGCGGTGGAAGATGCGGTGTGCGCGATAGATGCAAGCCCATGGCAATCTGTTCGACAGTTGGTCGGGTGGGTCCATCGTCTTGCAGGTGACGAGGCGGGTAGCGTGCACGCTGGCAGGGTCGTGTGAGTCGAACATCCTCCTCGGGATGTTTATTAGGATGGACATACCTGCTCGTACATCATGGAGGCATCGTTTCTTGGTTGTCCGCGAGAGTTTCGTGCCGTTGAAATAGATTTCCTCAAGTTGACGAAGAGTTTCGAGGGCAGGGGCTTCACAGAGCTGTCCCGGTTTGAAGACATGGCGGCGTAGTTTGAAGGACCAGCGACAGCGTTAGACGAGGGGGACGATGTCATCTCACAGGCAAGGCTGGTAGGGTATTATGGTGGGGATTGGGGGCACGCGCAGGACGTGGAGAGAGCATGCACAAGAGCGCTAATGACAACCCGAACTACGGACACCGAGGCAAACGTCAGCTTGGATTCCGATCAGGCGACTAAAAGGTAATAGACCTGCTACAACTGCATCCAGCACCTACCTGCAGGCAGAGTCGTACTAGAGGGCGGACGTCAGCGGCGGCGAGGGGGTGCACTTTTCCGAGTCGGTGCGGTGGACACGAGCGCAATGACAAGCGATGACGAAGAAGTCCGGGAGAGTGTCCGGGCGTGCCGATCAGACCTCGGCTTTCGCCGCGAACCTCAACAAGGTCACGCCCTGTGTGGCGCGTACGTGGCAGAGCGCTTCTCTTTCTCGCTGTCTTGGCAGACAATGACACATTCATGCGAAGCTGGCCCAATATCGGAGTACGGGTTCCCGAGAACTCTGCGACTTCATGAGATACAGTATCGATCTGCGTTGTACGACTGGAATAGGTATGACAAAAGGAGTAGTGTGTCCGTTTCCACAACAGTAGCCACAACACGAGTCTATATTAGGCTTGGCCGAGTGCCTGACTAGCTACCGCATATAGCGTATCGCGATCCTCACTCTCTTCGACGAGCGACTTCAGGAATCCTTGCTCGCGTTGCAGTAGAAGGCCGGGCTTATCGAACTCAACAAGCCGGCCAGCATCAAGGACCATCTGCAGCGCGCATTCAGTCATATGCACCATATTCATCTCCGGCATTCGGAGAACCACTTACAATCTTGTCTGCATCCATGACCGTCTGCAGCCGGTGAGCGACCACGAGGACCGTCACATCTCTCCCGAGCTCTTCCCGTAGGGAAGTCTGGATGACACCGTCCGTCTTGTGGTCGATAGAGGAGGTGGCTGATATTGGGAGGTGCCACAGTTCGTCAGCTGCTACGTTTCAACCGGACCGCCAAGGAACGTATCGACTGACCTTCATCGAGAATGAGCAGCTTGCTCCCGCGCACGAGCGCACGCGCCAACGCCAGTATCTGGCGCTGGCCCACGCTCAGATTGGCGCCGCCATTGGTGACCTGAGTGTCCAAGGCAATGGTACCGCTACCGGTTTCGCCGTTGTCGGCTTGGAGCGAGTCCAGCCCGGATGCGCGCAATGCTGAGTTGAGCGTCACGTCGTCGTTTTCATCGAAGGGGTCAAGGTTGTCGCGGATTGTCCCACTCAACAGCTCGGGAGACTGAGGTATGATGGTAATCTTGGAGCGCAGGTCGTCCAGGCGAATGGCGTTGGTGTCGATGCCGTCGTACAGAACGGTTCCTTCGGCGTATATGGCCCGCAGCAAGGACAGAGTAAGGCTGGTCTTCCCGCTGCCTGTCCTACCCACGACTCCGATGCGCTCACCCGGCTTCACATGGAAGGACAGGTTGTGGAGCACCCGAGGTCCATCCTAAACCTAGGTCAGTCTCGTCGTCAAGTGTTACCCGTCTTCTACGTACCGGCGTGTACGACGCGGAAAGCCCTTGTACAATTAGCTCTCCACTCGTGGGCCAAGACGCGGGTGGAGCGATAGCTTTCTTCGGCTCCGGCTCTTGTTCGATTCCGATGTACGCGTGAAGGCGTTCAAGTCTGGCATAAGCGCACATACGTTAGCGCCGTTCAGGAGGCAGTTACCCTAGCATGTACGAACGTGTTGCTATCGAGTTCAAGCGAGTTGATGATCCGCATCCACCACAGTAAAGTTCTACTGAACGCGACTGCATACGGTTAGTCGTATTACCCAGTCCATAAGGAGTAAGGGCAAAGATCCTACCAGCCATCGTCAGGGAAAACCCAACGGTAGAGGCCAGATTCAACTGGCTGCCTGGACCGTAGACCAAGTAGGCGCCGAGACCGGCGGAGAACAAGCCGCCGATCAAGTCGATGCGTAGTGAAAGCCATCTACGGAATGTAGTGAGCACGACAGAATCGGCTATGACAGGCTGCACACCCGCCTATTGAGATTGAAGTTGGTACGCGCAACGCGAGTGTACTCGTCAATGCGACGATGAAGCTCCTCCCGGAAGGCGTCTTGTGCCCCATATGCACGCACCGATACTGGATCGTTGTCAATACCACCGCACATGGCAATAGACGTGATTCACATACCCAAACCTGCCATCGAGTTACCCAGGTGACCGATAACAGGGGCACGTACAACGCTCTTGATGCGCGTCACCGGAAGCTGAATGCGAAGATGGGTCTTGCAGCACCACCAGCCGATCACGAAGACAAACAGACTGGGAAACACATATGCCGGGGAGATGACTACAATCGCAACGAGTTTGGTCAGCAGCAAGGCTGATTTCTCAATGAAGACCTTGAGGTCTTGCGGCACAGGGCCGTCAACTATCGAACACCGGTCAGTACTCAACCCATGTCTGCTAACAGTAGACATACGGGCGCGGATATCTTGAGTGCATCGCGCGATAACGCGAGATACCGGGGTCACTGCTAGCCACCTGACCTCATAGTCAGACGCAACGCTTTGCTGATGAATGGTGCGACTCGCCTGAATGTTGTCCCCAGCACGGCGTCAATGAGCATTCCGTGTATCTTCCTTGACGCTCGGACGATGCCGGAGACGTAAGTGATGATCCCAATGCTGTACGCGACGAAAGACAAGATTAGAATCCCCACGAGGACACCGAGGTAGCTGAAAGAATGTTAGACTCTATGACAGGTTGACTAGGCTAAGGACATACTAGGTCACGTTGACCTCGCTGACGGTATGGCGTTCATACTGCTCCGCCCAATGGCCTAACCAGAAGGTCTTGAGAACGTCGAGCGACTCGGCGGCGGCGACGGATGCCAGGAACGTTGTCCAGAAGAGGAAGGCCAGGCGGCCGCCCATCGCGGAATAGAACATAGCCACTGCGCTGGGTGAACACGCGGCCAATATTAAGACCAATACACAACTCACTAGCAGCCCGTACGCCACCGCCTTGCGCCATCTCTTCAGCGAGGATCAGCTTTCCGTCGGACGTAGACGCCGGAGCCTTTGGTGCGTCGCCGTCGGCCCCAGGCAGCGTATCCTCGTCAATATCTTTCTCTGCTTCGTACTCGTCTGACGCAGCGGCATCCGGTAAAGATGCGTGATCAACACGAACAAGGTTCTCAACCATGCCCGAGCGAACTGAAAGGATGTAATCGGCTGCTTTGGTGGCTAGAGAGACGTTGTGTGTCTGCGAAGCACATCAATACCAACGACACTCAGAAAGAGTTATCTACCATGACGCACCACGAGGAGAACAGTACGGCCACGAACGAGATCGCTCCTGAGGCACTTATCGACGATCCAACGCGATGTCTGCGTGTCGAGGGCGGACAAGACCTGTCATCTTCTCAGTCACAGCATGCACTCTCAAGGCGGCGAAATGGCCTACATCATCGAGTAGCACGATCTGAGCGCGGGAATATATGGCTCGTGCAAGTGTGACGCGGGCCTGATGATGGTCTGTGAATTCGGCAACATAATAAAAACCGCCTCAACGTACCTTCTGGCCACCACTCAGGGTGATACCCTTCTCACCAACTTCGGTCATATCGCCCGCCGCAAGCAGGCGGAGATCTGTTTCCAGCGCACAAGCATGTATGACTAGGTTCAACAGTCAGTGAGACCGTCTAGAGGCGAAGAAAACATCCAACGTACCCCGTTTGTAGCGATCCTCGTCGTACGTGTCGCCGAATACGATGTTACCCTGCAGGTGAGGTAAGTCGACAACGCACTGAAATAGTACGGGAGTGGACCTACGCGAATCGTATCGTTCAGAACCCAAGACTCTTGCGCCGCGTATGAGACGCCACCGTTGCGAGGCAGATGATACCAAGATTCCGGAGACGATGGTGCGAAGTGCATCTCCCCAAGAAGCGCCATGAGAACGGAGGTCTTGCCTGAACCAGTGGGGCCGGTGATGAGCGTGAGAGACCCGCGCTCAAATGTGATCTTGCCCGGTAAGATCAAAGAAAACTGCCGCTCTTCCGCTGAACCGTCGGCAGCGGTCGTCGAAGAATGGTCCCAGGTGAAACGCGCGTCGTTGAAGCCGAATTTATCGTCTTCGAGAGGCGCGCGTTGGTCAGCGGGCGCGCTATCCTTGGCCTTAAACTCGTCCAGAAGTTCACCCTGAGGATGAATGAGAAGATGCTCCGTGAGCGCTCATACCTTCACTCACATCAGAATGAAGGAAACTTGTTAGTCGGTCGAGCGAGACTTTTGCTGAAGCTACGTGAGTTTTGTGCTCTTGCTGGTCCCAGGACAACAATGGCTCACCTTGAATGATGTTAGGCAATCCACCGAATATGCTGCCAATCTGAGCTCTCAACATTTCGAAGAGCGTGATGGATGAGAATACAATGGAAGCTGTAAAGGTAGTGAGCGATGGTGTACAGGTTGGATAGTTGGTCACCCACGAGTTAACTCGCGGCGCATAACGATCGTGTAGATCGCGTAGGTCGCTATCAGCTGCAAGACGGGGATGAGAAGGCTGTTGATGATACGTCATTACATGCGTCGACTTGAGACAGGAAAACTGATCTACTTGATTAGGCTGTTCGCTAACTTCATGAGCTCTCGTGAGCGTATCCATTTCAACTCGTCGTCGCGTTTGTTAGACACCCTGTCTGCAAGACGACGTTCCCAGCCGAAGAGTTTCACCATGCGCAAAACGGACATCACTGAAGGCGCAGGTTCAGCATCTGGAGCGAAGCGAACCCAGAAGATGAAGACGTACTCTCGCTCACAGTCTGCACACGAGCGTCGGTTCTAGTCACGAGTTGACGCTGAATCTTCTGCGAGAACTTCGTGATGTATCCGGGTACAGGCAAAGACAGAAGCATCAAGGCCAGGCCGACGAAGGTGCTGTGTGAAGCAATCAGTATGCATCCATGCTGCACGAGATCTTGTCCCCGCTCACCTCCATCCGAGGAGATAATACAAGAAGTACAAACAGAGCGCTATTTGTAAAGGAGAGTAGAAGACTGCAGACCAGATTCAGTATTGTCGAGACGAGTAGAGATTGGCACGTACCTAACAACAAGAAGTCGCGTCCGTCGAGGACATTATCCAAGTCAGTTGTGGTCAGGTTGATCATCTTGCCGAGGGAGTTGTCCTTCGGAGCACGTTCACGTTGAGGCGACCCGTCTTGGCTTGATGGAGACTCCGCGTTCAGACGTATGCGCATTGAGTGGTCGAAGACGATGCGAGTAATCATTGCTTGCGCCCGTACCATCGTGGCAGTCTATTCAACATGAGAATGAGGTCGTGGCGTACAGACGCGGCGAGGACGTGCTCACTACGACATAGATATACCACTGCCAGATAACGCCGGTCATGAATGTACTCAAGAACACCATGACGATCCAGACGATAGGACGTAGCACGGCACCTTCGCCGCCAGTCTCGATGTACCTGGGTCAACTCTGAGTATATTGCATCGGATCTGAGAACAATGGACGATATCCCTTACTTCAGTAGCCCGTTGAGCCCAAGTGGCGCGAAGAATGCTGAAACCGTCTGTAAGATCAGGAGACAGAAGAGTTCGCTGTATTCCTCGGCTGGCATCTCGTATAAGTGATGTGGCCTCCTACGAAGAGCGCTTTGATCCCACCGAATGTCTTCATGATCCCAAAGAAGAGGTGGTGGCGGGGCGCGCCGGCGAAGATGTCCAAGTTCTGTGACATGATGAGCAAGGCCACACAATCAAGACCCGAACTCTCATTCTTACTCCTTTGCCCTTTTCGACCAAGACGTCGGCGTGATCGTAGTCGGCCAGTCCCGGTAGTATCTTGGCAGTGATGACTTCGTTTTGGCGAGGAAGCGCGATGATCTCACCAATGAAGTCGTACGTGAGAAGCGATAGTACGGATGCGGTCTGCTCTGAAGTGGGCGGCACTGTGGCTCCCTTAATGATATGAATCAGCTTGGTGCTATCATTGAGTTGACGTTGTTGATGGCCTACCTTGACTTCAATGGGTATGTGCCGTCTCGGTGTGATGAGCGGAAGGATGACGCCGGGAACTGCTAGTAGCGCGATTCTCCACCACAAGGCATGACCCTCGTTGAGATCCGCCGGAGCTGAGGTGAAGGTCAAGAGTGGCCACAGGTCCCTATATGCGTACGGCACGAAAGCCAGACAGAGCAGGATAGTAAGCTGTCTCGAGACATGGCGAGTAAGTGGCGATGCAGTCGCAGTGACTGTGAACGAGGAGAGTACTGCTGTGTAGACCTGGAGAAGATCAGCACGAGCAAGTAGTGCAAGAAGGCAATGAGACTGACGTAGAATGCTAGGGTGACTGCAGCTAGAATCGTTGTGGAAGCCATCACATCGAAAGCTGCAAGTACAAGTAACGCAAGTATACAAGCTAGCCGGGCCAGTTGAAAAGCAAAGATTGTAGCATTGTGGCCCGTGACCCGACGAGTCTCGCCCAAGGAGTGAGGGGTACTGCTTATCCGGTAAGCCCAGAGGAGGACCAGGATAGATACAGCAGCGTAGTAGAGGGGAAGTAGACGCAGGTCCGCGGGACCGAGACGGACGTCACCCGTCTCGACGGCCGTCATCGCTTCAGACATTCACACCCTCGCTACGGGTGTTGGTGGTATGAAGAGATAGGGCGGCAGCATGCACTTGTGTTTATGTATCATCTCGTAGTCGTCGGTCAAGTCTGCCCGCAAGGCTACAACGACTGCGGCAATAGTAAAACCGTCGGATCAACATTCCGTCCGAGAGCATCGGCATGGACGACGATAACAAGCTCTTGCATTCTACCACCACGACGCTACATCCCTGCCTCACAGCAGTTGTTCAAGGTCTTCCAGATCCGAAATAATCAAGAGCCGAAGATTGACTGCATCTTTTCCATTGCCTCTGGTGTCGGAGTATCATCTGCCAGGATGGAAGGAGTATCGCAATCCAGGGGTAGGATTTCGTCGAGCGGGATGTCGGGGCCGTTGGTGCGTGTTTCGGCTCCTTCTACTCTATGGCCAAGCTGATATCAACTGCAGGTCTCTATACGGCTCATTCCTGCCGAAGTATTGGTCGAGATATTCTCGTGGTTGTCTGTATTGGCACCTACCAACTTTGCCGCAGAGCACATGCCGGGGTACAAGAAGCTGGAATGGCTAGTCATTACACATGTCTGTAGCTTTTGGAGGAACCTTGCAATCAATAGTCCGAGCTTATGGACACGTGTTGACACCACCATGGGCCGTGAATGGGTGCAGGCTTTCCTCACTCGAAGCAAGACAACATCTATCACCTTCAGCAATTTCTGCCTACCTACTTCGGCCAAGGACACACGCATCACCATCGCGAACGAAATTCTACCCGCCCAACTGGAGCGCATGCAAGTTCTCATGTTGCGACAGCCCCTTTCTGGCCCACCGCATCCTGCTCTTCTACGCCCTGCACCACTTCTTGAGGTTCTGACACTCCTCGGCGACTTTTTAAGCCTAGCCGAGGGGGAGTGGGCCTTGTTCCAGGCCCCTCGACTGCGCCACGTGCAGGTCCTTTCGTGCTCGTCCTTTCCGTGGAAGTCATTCCATGTCCGCAACCTCTCCTCGCTGTGTCTAGCGCAAAAGTTCGAACGGCTTATTGATCAACACAGACCCGACCCTCATGAACTCCTAGAAGCCTTACGAAGTACAGTTCAATTGAAAAGACTCTGTCTTGAAGAGACGCTACCGCGTTTTGACGACGCTCACGTACAAGATCTGGACCTTCCGATGCTGCAAGTCCTCCGGATACACGGACTTGTATCCGATGTCGTTGGGTTTCTTACGCACCTTCGCCCTTCTCACATCGAATTGGATGTGTCGTGTCGTGGTTTGAATCCCACTGACGAGTCGACCGACGCTCTGCTCCGTGTCCTCGCCACACATCAGACTGCTTTTGACGACAAGCCTTTTCAGGCTGTCTGTCTAACGACGCGTCTCTCGATCCGCTCACCTTGGGCATACGTGCATGCTGCACGGGAGATTGTTGGCCATGAGTGGCAACCACCGCTCCACTATCCCCGAGAGTACTTCGTCGAAGACACCGACGCTGCACGCCGCCGTGGATGGGAGCTGGATCCCCGCTTTCGTGGATATTGCGACAGTCCTCTGACACAGTCATTCTCATTGACTCTCAACTTCACCCGACTATCCGATGGTGTCAAGGATGTCGTTGACAAGGCTACCCACAGCCTACTTTTACAAACCGCTCAACTATTGGTCTACGACCAGGTCGTGGACCCGGCGCGCGACATCCTCCCGCCGGAGACACTCAACCGCCCATTCACGTACTTCCCCAACGTCAGACAACTTCGCATCGGGCACAACATCTTCGCATCGTTCATCAGAGCGCTCAACGCGCAAGACATGCCCAAGCTCGAGGATATCTACTTCCCGGACTTGACGCCGGCGTATTGGCAGAACGTGATGGGGAGCTTGGCGAAGATCAACCAGTTTGTCTCGGATCGCGACAAGATGGGACGACGAGTACGCTCTCTGTATCTCAAAGATAAGGGTGCACATGTGAAGGCATGGGGGAATGTTGGGAAAGGTGGCACCAGGATCCCCCCTAGACTGGCTCACATAGTGAAGGAACTGGCTTGAACTGTACATATATATATACTACATGGCCTGGTATATTCCATATCAATCGTTCGAAGACTCCGTATCCACTTTCTCTGTAATGGCAATCCTTCTGACTGCTGTTGACGCCCTGACGCTTGCAGAGGGGAAGAGGGAAGACGCCCTGCAGAAAGCGGACAATGAAGAGTCTGGTCTTTGTCGCGGTCACGTGCCTTACGCGGCCATTGTCCTCTGCATCCAGCTGTTTGCCTGAGTCTCACCCCAAGGTGCTCACGCCTGTGTGTGCAGCTTGACAGGCGTGGGACCCGTATCAGAGGGCGAGCTGTAGGTCCACTGTTAGCCATGCCTTCTTCGTGCTCGTTGCGACGTGTTGCAGGGTGCCAGGCGCCGATACGTGTAGTTCATAAAGCAGACCTAGCGATCGGTCGACCACATCAACCAGTCGCCCTACCGCACTACTCAGCGCTACAGCAAGGCATTTCTCCTACCACATACTACTCACACAATGTCTTCGTACACTACCCATTCTTTCGGCGCGCCTACCACCTCGGTCTTCTCTTACAACTACACCGCACCCAACGCACCCAACGCCTTCGGCCTTTTCGGCATTGCATCAGACCCGAGGTCTACATACGAGGCCTACAACGCGCTCCGCCCTTCTAACTCCCACCGCGTGCGGTGCGAGGAGAAGAAGTCGGGCTGGAAGCGCGTTTTCGGCGCGTGCCGCGGCCAGTGAGCGCCTTGCGCCCGCTCAGACTTCTTCATGTGGAAGATACCCACCAACTACTGCGCCCGCGCTTTCGGCGAGCCAAAGCCGCAGAGGATACAGCGATAGAAGAAGGCCTATCGCGACTGCCGCAAACGCCGCGGGCCACGGCCTAAACAGCCGAAGCCGCAGAAGCATCGGCCAGTACGATGCCGCCTCACCATACGGCGCAGGAACAGCTTGACACGCGAGTCGCTATTCTGTGCCTACGGAGGATCCTCGTCTGAAAGAGGAAGGGGAGAATTCTGAATTACGGACTCAGCCATTGGACTATACTCGAGCCGCGATATGCTTTATGTATTCCCCATATACCCCGCTTTGTATACCCAGCTGCTCTTTCGTGTTCGTAGCAATGAACTTCGTGAATAAGAGTATTAGATAACCGATCCGCGTACAAATCGAGTCGCACAACTACAACTGTCCTTGTCATATCCATCGTCTTTCCATATCATATAAACCCACCACCACCCTCGTAGTACGGTCCATCAAGCTACGCGCCAGGACCACCGACATGCATCGCAGCCATCTGCGCGCTCAGCTGCTGCTCCGGCCCCGGCAAACTCTGCTGCGGTACGGCGTATGGACTTTGACCGTAGGGCACAGGTGCAGCCTCCTGACCGGGAGCGCCAGCGTAAGGACTGGGCAGCGAGCTCTGACGCGCGAGATCAGCGCCGCCGGCCCCAGTGTACGGGTTCGGCAGCGAATCTTGGCGGATAGGCTCAGGAGCATGCTGTTGCTGCTGTTGCTGTTGAATAGCGTTGACGAAGGATTGAGCTCCAGCTGGGCCTGCCGATCCAGGAGAGGTAGGCTGATGCTGGGGCTCATACGCTTGCTGGGGCTCATACGCTTGCTGGGGCTCATACGCTTGCTGAGGCTGTTGTTCGGCATATTGAGGCTGCTGCTGCTGTGCGCCGTATGGGCTATCGAGTGACGTCGCACTTCCAAGCGACGTTGTGCTCTGCACGGCGTGCGCGGGCTGCATCTGAGTCGGCGACTGTTCAGGCGCTACAGGCGGCTTGATGCCCGGTACGGAGTGGAAGTACACTGAACCAGTCGGGTCGTCGCCACCGTGCGCATAGTACTGAGCCCACGCTTGAGCGTTCGGGTCGGGGTACGTGGCGTTGGGGTCATACGGGTACGGCGGACCCTCCATAGGGGCTGGTTGCTGTTGCTGAGCGGGCTGCTGCTGTACAGGCGCCTGCTGTTGGACGGCCGGTTGCTGCTGTGCGGGTTGTTGTTGCTGGATAGGTTGTTGTTGAACGGGTTGCTGTTGAATAGGTTGTTGCTGCACGACTTGCTGTTGTACTTGCGGTTGCTGCTGTACAGGCACAGGCTGCGTTTGCTGACGCTGCAACTCGGGCTGTGATTGCAACCCAGGGGACAGCGGACCCTGAGGGTTGTACGGCCCACCGTACGGCTGCTGGTATGGTACTTGCTGCGGTCCGCCATACGAAGACTGATGTTGCAGCTGGGGACCTCCCTCAGGCCCATAACCAGGGTAACCATAACCCGGCGCAGGCTGCTGCTCGTACGGGGCAGTCGACCAGCGGCCATCCGGGTAAGCTTGAGGGCCATATGGCTGATCATACACTGCGGGTATCATGAGCGATATGAACAAAGACGACATGCAATGACACTGACCGCTGTTGCGAGCAAGGCTCTCCTCCATCATGCGGTCAAAGATGGTGCGCGCCTTGACAAAGCTCTCGTTCATGGCGACGAGATCAGCTACAGTGCATCAGCAACTCGTCGAGGCATAGCGATGAAATCCCACATACCTCGCTTCTGGCTGTACTTGTCGATAAGCTTGACAATCTTAGGGCGGAGAAGAACGCTCGTGCGGTAGAGCTCCTGGATCTCCTCGTTATCCGCCAGGTTATCCTTCGCAGGGTCGATCTGCCTCAGCATCGAGAGTAGACGGTCAATGTTCGCAGCTTGGGCAAAGACATTGGCCTCGGCCTGCGCTTCCGCCGCAAGTTCGTTCGCAGTGGGTTCTGGGAGCGGCTCAACGTAGTTAACCGGGAAGATACCGGTACGGCCGCGCAATTGGCCGCGCCACCAGTCCTTGTATCCACGATCGACGACTTTGATGATGTCGCCACGCTCAAACGCCAGTTCGCCAGGCTCGGTTGCCTCAAACGGATGAAGTGCGCGTACACGGGTTACAGGTCCGCTCATGCTTGGCGCGGGTGTGGGCTCTGGAACCGGCTCAGGAGCGGGCTGCGCAGCAGGTGCAGAATACGACTGCGCGCTGGAAGGCTGAGCAGAGGGAACATATCCGCCACTCGCGTATGGATGGACGGTGGCGGGCTGTGCAGCACCGGAAGAAGACGGGCCAGGACCAGCAGAAGCGGACGCAGAACCGCTCGCCCCGGCCGACGAGGACCCTGCGAGGGAATACTGGGCCCATTGCTGGCGACCGCCCTTGTCCTGCATCGAGATCTCGAGCGCGCGCTGAAGCTCTTCCTCTTCGCGCCTGCGGGCCTCGTCATCGACGGCAGGGGGCGGAGGCTCGTTCACAACATCGAAAGAGAAATCTGTACAATGATCAGTAAAGATTCACGTCGCGCCGGAATAAGACATACTCTTGCTCTTGAGGTTATTGTAGCACTCTTCCATCAATCCCAATGTCGGATCGTTCTCCCACTCCGAAGCCCATTCAGCGATCAGCCCCAGCGCCTTGCGCTTGACCCTGTCATGGGCAGTCTGCGGATGCGGAGTTCAGCCAGCGCCGTGAATAGGATCCAGTCGAGCATACCCTGTCCGTGATCAGTCTCTCAAGACCCTGTGTAAACGCTCGAGAGGCAATCTCAGCATGCAGCTCCTTGCCGCAGTTCTTGGTCAGAGATTCTGCGAGCGCGAGCGAGTACAACTGGACGTTGGGATTCCTGTGCGCTAAGCGCTTCAAGATGGCGGCAATGACATTGCGGGCACTATACTTCATTCGTCACTGCTTCTCAGGATAATAATAGAGTACCCTACCCTTGTTCGCCTTCATCCTGAACCTTGTCGCATAGGTTGAGGATAATCTCCCAGTTCTCGGACGTGAGGTTCTCATCAGTCGCCTTGACTGATATGACACTTTAATACTGGCTATATTATGTGCACTAGATGCCATACTCACCGACGATGTCGTCGTATGGGTTAGCTCCGCCACCGAATAAAGACATGGAAGGTATGCGGGGAAGACGAGGATGGGAGTGGAAGGAGAGCTGTCGATTCGATGATGGAATGGCCGCGCCGCACGGCAACACGCGAACGGGCGCCTATTGCGGCATCTTGACTCGCGCGTGCCTCGCCTCCCGAGCTACCCTACCACCACCAGGTTTTCCTACTTTGCCTGTCCTAGTCCGCTCGCGATGGCCAAGGGTACACTCAACTTATACTCTAGTATACTCTGTGCTCATGATCGCCTCCCGATATGACAGTACCGCGCAATTTCCGTTTATTGGAGGAGCTCGAGAAGGGCGAGAAGGGTATCGGCGACGGCTCGTGCTCGTACGGTCTCGAGGACAGCGACGACAACATGATGTCCAACTGGAACGGTACAATCATTGGGCCAGGACATGTACGTCTTCAGATCGAGACTATGTGTGATCGTGTCCGACTTATCTTGACGGTGGCGTATTGTAGAGTGTACACGAGAACCGCATCTACTCGCTCAAGATTCACTGTGGGCCCGACTACCCAGACGCGCCGCCCACAGTCCAGTTTCTGTCTCGCGTGAACCTTCCCTTTGTCTCCCAAACCGATGGCAAGGTTAACCCGAGCAAGTTGCCTGTTCTGGCGCATTGGAACCGTAACCATACGATGGAGACTGTTCTCGTCGAGATTCGCCGGTCAGTCTGCAAAGATTCTATCCTAAGCGCCCAACTAACACGCTTATCGCAGGGAAATGAATTCGTTCAACAACCGGAAGCTCGCTCAACCGCCTGAGGGTAGCATGTTCTAGATGATTCACCGCGCGCTTGAGTATGGACTGATAATCAATCAACTCCCTATTGTACTATCAATGGATGCACGCTTCGAGTACAATCTCATACAGCTCTTGTACCTGCATGGTCAGTGCGGCGTGGTGCTTCTCCAATGCATACGCTGGTGGTTATCCGCCATACTATGCGAGCTTCAGCCTCTTCTTCGTCGCGTCGCGTCGCGGCTCCTCTCACTCTTACCTGTGCACCATAGCATAATTAGGAAGCTACTATCTCTCTGGCTTGGTCCTTGATTCTAGCACAGACTCACTGGCTGCCCTAGATCTCAGTGAGCACTTCTCTGTCCTCGTCGGTCCTCTGGCGTCGTCGAGGTGTACGCAAACCGAGTATCAGAATAATGCTCGCCGTATGGCATACTGACCTACGCATACTACGAGAGTTCCTCGTGAGGGAAGTCTTGGTTGGCGCTTGAAATGTGTACTGCTACATGTGTGTTCACGTTCTCGATTGTGTCCCCAAGCCATGCTCCATGGATCAAATCTGGAACGTGGGCTCCGACGACCGAACTAAGAGACGACGAAGAGTCGAACGTTTGAACGTTTGCGGATAGTAACCAGATATGCATTGTCTTGTGCCTGCCGTATACAGTGCCAGTGGATGCTTTCCGGTGATGTAAGAGGGAAATAACTTGATATATATGCTCAAAATGGTGGATCTCAAGTTCTAAGGTTCATAGCCAGTCTCCGTACTGTAGCCGACGCAAATCAAAAGATAAAACATAGGGCCTAACCGGGAATTGAACCCGGGACCTCCTCCATGATATCACGTGACTTTTTAAGCACGTGACCCTAAGAAGGAATCATACTACTAGACCATCAGGCCGATGATGTTCAAAAGCGTACTTAGCGTCAGAATCGCAAATCACACGCGAGCAAAGCTGCCACTCGAAACGCGAAGTCTGGACAGACATCATCTGTTGAACATTGACCATGACTATGGGCCCTGCTCGCGACGCTGGTTCGCCGCCCGCATATCTACCCTCAGCAGACATCTACGAATCCAGCTCAAGCAACACTCTTAACCTTTCTGACGCAGGCGTCATCGCTTCCGACTACAGTGGGCTTCTTAATGAATCTATCAGCGGAAGCTCTCTCTGTTCCAACGATTACGACTATCCCGCCAAAGGCATCCCGCCGTATCCGGAGACCTCTATCCGTCTTGATCTTCGAAGACTTTCACCTCTGGCTCACAACATTCTTGGATCTCCGAAGTTACAGTCTGATGACCCGCCGGTACTCGTTACAAGCCCACGACCTTCGTACATCAAAACGATACCCAAGCTCTCAGAGATTGACCATGTAGAGCTTTGGACGGCACGTTCACATTCACTTACTTATGATTATTGTCCTCACAAATTGCATTGTAGAACGCCATGACACCCCAGGCTCCTCCGGGTCTGGAACGCACCGTTGATCCAAAGGAAGAAGAAGACTGGATTCCGGAAGGCTCCCTGTATAATCCCAAAGCCCTGTGGTCCAAGTTACGGCAAGGTCGTGCGCGTCTATCCGTCTCAAGTCAACCGGTCTGGTCTCGCAGTCCGACTCCCTCTACGTCTTTGGACAGTACATCGGCAGCTCGCAGTTCACTACAGCCGCCTTCCCGCTCTGCTTACCGGTCTGCCTCGTACGACGATCTACAACGCTTCCGTGAGGTGCTGGAACGTGATCCTACCATTGTCGATGCGCCCGAGTCGCGTCCCCGCCGATGGTCTCTCAGTTCTCCTGGTCGCGCCAACTTCGCTTCTCGCAGTCACAAGACAAAGAACCCCAGCATATCTATATCCGATGGTCAGACTTCCAGCCATGGAACGGATGATTACTCAATGCAAAACATACCCAAGATCAAGCTCTCGACTTCCGATAATACACTCGCGATCTCAATTCCGTCGTCTGCGCCATCGTCTGGTTCTGGCCGCCCGGATTCTGATCGTGCGGAAGTGATGGCTGATCTGACGTCTTTCTCTCTCGCCGCTCGCCGAGGGAGGACCGTACCGAAACCGCTGGCACTCAATCAGGTCGTTGACGATGTTGCGCCAGAGGCATACCCTGATCTCCCTACTGCATTCATGTTCTCGCCGACGACTGGGACCTCAGATGCCAACCGCTTCTCGACAACGGATCTCATTCTCTCCCAGGTTTCAACGGGTATGGACACTAGCGATATGATCAAGCAACTCCAGGCAGTGGCTTCAGAACTCAAGCCTACGACTCCAGTGGACGTAGTACACTACGTTTCTACCAACCCTATCATCAGCGTCGACAGTGCGGAAAGTCAATCGGATGACTCGTCGGCTTCCGTCTCTTCGCACAACTCTTTTGACGGCTTGGATACTTCACGCGCTTCAAGGGCCCTGTCTATTGCGTCGGAGGACGAATGGGCCTTCGCGCGCGACTTGATGGAAAGCAATGGCGATCCCCTGCCACCCAAGTCTCCCAAGAAGGATGAGGTCGTGCCTCCTGTACCTGTCATTCCCGCCGAGCTCAAGGTTTCCACTCCCGCCGCGTCTTCATCTTTGCCAGTCTCTGCCAGTGGCTCTGCGTCAAAGCTTCTCAAACCGGTCGTACGAACCGGAATACCGAAGGCGCTGGTTCCTGGTACCACCTCTGGTCCCGGGACCGAACCCTCTGCTCGCACATCGTCCGACAAACCAACCGGTATACAGTTGCCCTCCCGCCGCGTCGTATCTCCGATCTCGACTGCTGCGACGGACAAGTCCACCGGTATACAGCTCCCGTCCCGCCGCGTCGCTTCGCCAACTCAGATTGCATCGACAAACCCGGCTGAAGCTTCCCTCGACTCGACGCCACGGTCGTCGGCACCTGCTCCCAAGAAGGATACAGTCTCTCGCAAACCCGTGCCTCATCATCTACCCACACGGGCATCCAACGCGTCATCTACTGTGCGATCTCTAACGTCGGGTGTGCCTGCTTCTCGTCGATCCTCTGGCGCTACGCCCACGTCAATGAAGACGCCTTCTCCGGCTGTCTCAAGCACAGTTGTCACTGTCAAGGCGACGCGGCCCATCTCACGCATCACGTCTCCGGAACCGGTCCATACAAAGGCAACGATTGTACCCGCTCCCCGACGACAAGCCGGCGCTACGCCCACATCCTCCAAGGGATCATCTCGCCCGATTGTGGCTTCAGGCGCCGTGGCCAAGTCTGCCGCGCGGACAAGTTCAACTTCGGTGGCTCAGACAACTCCAGCCGCACCTCGGCGCGTTACGCCTCCCGCACGAAAGGAAACTCCGAAACCTACTGTGGCGACGCCTGTGAACCCGCCAGCGGCAGAGGGGATCACTTCCTTTGCGCCTATAAGCGCTCTCACGGCCCGACCTCCGACACCACCTCTTGCCCGTACGATCAATGCCAGTATCTCCGACTCTGTGGGCATGTCTATCTTGACGCCAAGTACGGAAGATCTCGCCGGCTCTTTGAGGCCTCTTCGTGGCATACTGAAGCAACGCAAGAAGGTCTGGTGGGACGATGACCCGAATAACGTCCCAAGCCTCGTAGCCGTCGAGACACCTTCTCCCGAGCGGACGGACTCGACGCCTGGTCCAGAGACGCCTTCATCTCCATTGTCACTACGCCGCAACCGAGCTCAGAGCGTCATGTTGCTCGCAGCATCTGTAGGTTCCCCGACAGTCAGCGAAGACGCTCGTCGGCGTTCATTCGCAGGTGCTCCATCCAAATCGGACAGCGCACTTGATACAACGAGTGAGAGGCGCACGCGACGCGCATTTTCATTCAGCCGCTCGAGTGCGGGGGACAAAGAAGCAGCGGATAAGGAGAACAAATCTAGGTTCTCGCTTCTTGGGGGCGGAGCTGGAGCATCCAGCAAGCGGGCGAGCCAGGTTTCCGCAGACGGTGGAAAGAAGTCGTCAATCTTGTCGCTCTTCGGGAAGTTGCGCGTATAAGGTTATGGCCCGCCCTACATGTTCTCTTGGATGTACTGTACATCACGAAGCCTTTTCGCATCACTACCCTGTAGCCATGTCTAGCAAGCGCTCTCTGCGTTGATCACGAATTTCATGACTAGTTTGGAAGAATGGGCGCACCGGAAGGTGCCCAACATACGTGTATCTCTTGATACCCTTCGGATACGGCCGAGTATCTTGACAATGTGAAGTTGATGGCACACGTGCCGAGTTAACGTTTGCGGGCATTGAATCTGTACTGGCAATGTGGGAGGCTTTGCTGTCATAAGTCCACGTCAAGATCAACAACGGCATACGGTGTAGTGCGATCCAGATGATCAGGATCTCTGTATAGCGGTGCTTCACTTCCTCGACCTCTACAATCATAGAAGACCTGTGAAACCGCTCTAAACCGTCAGTTGGCCAGAAGTGTACAGACGTTCGAATTCGCCTTTCAAGTCATGATGGGATAATCGCCCATTATAGCGAGATACAAGCATACCTCGCTACCAGAGACCGCAATCACGATGTGGTGTTGAGGAAGCCTATAATGCGTCGGTATGTTCCAGACGCTGGAGCCGCGCGCGCTGAAGCGCTGATTACTCGTCCTTATCTGACAGGACGTCCGTCCCAGACGCTGCCTAGCGTCTATAGTCGGCAAATACCCCGGACTGCGAGAACATTATAGGTGAAGGAGTATAAATGCCCGTTCACCGGCGCGCGTTGTAGTCGTCAATCATGACGCGGGATACAGTAGCGACTGCGAAGTTCGGCGCTGGGCGCGGATTGGGCGAAGGGCTCGCAGGCGTTGGGTTGTGTCCGGATGGAAGCACAGCTGTGGGGCAGACTGGCCAGCGCCAGCCACGCGATAATCAAGGTACGACGAACAGGAAGCTTCGAAGAATGCAGAGCATCGTACGCTCGTCAGCTCGATCTATGGGTACATCTTGTACCATCATTCCACACGAGGCCGTCTAGACCGCAGCTCATTAGCAAGAATTGTAGCTCGACTTGGAACAGGGGCAGCCATATACGGGAAAAGTCCCCGCGATGGCATTACGCACAGAAAAGGACAGCATGGCAGACATGTCTCCGGCAGGAGGGTGGCGAATGTTCTCAGCGAGAGAACTTGATGTGGTTGTAGCGCACACAACCCGTATACGAGATAGTGCTGTGCAACCTTCGCAAGACAGTGTCGAGCCCTCAAGTCTCAAGCAGCCTAAACATCGGGTATTCATTGTCAATCGTCTTACATTGCCAAGATGCATCATGTAAACGTCAGCCGTACGCTCAAATCGGCAGTACCCCTCCCGACAAAAGGCTCGTGAACTGGCGTAGGTGTCAAATCGACCAAAGGGTGGATTCTTGACATTAGATGATTTCACCGCAGGCCGAAAGAATGCGTCGATCACACATTTACACCTGGGCGATCATCAAGACGTATGAGCGTGGACGATGCATAACGCGCATAAGACTTCATCTGTTCGCTCTGAGTACGTACGATAGCATGCGGTGGGTGTGGTCTTTGTTGAGGTCCAGCCAGCGGCCGATGATAATTACGGCAGTCAACCTCCATCACTATTCCGCCGATGAGCTTCTCCAACCCATCTTTGGGGTAAGCTTCATCAGTAAACCTTCCACCGCGTGAAAGCGCGAGTGAGAAACTCTAGCGCGCGTAGACGCCCAAGCGCGTCAAGCGTTGCCAAGCGCTCTCTAGAAAACTAACGAAAGTTGTAGCATAGCAACGCGCGTCAAGCGCGGCAACAGGCGGCAACGCGTCGCCGTGGACCGGCCCAACCGGCTCGAGGCAACCGTAAATTATTATATAAATTCATTTATGCCTGGAAGGTCGGGCCACCAGCGTCGCGCTGCCTCTACCCCTCCGACCAGGGAACTGGGATGATTGACAAGCATAGATTTGGGATACTCAAGTAAAAACGATGACTATAGACTCGTGCTACAAGAACGACATGCTGTCCTACATCTACCAGGGACGGAACGGGCCTCCACCGAACGATCTTCCACTCGACTCATTGCCCGTAGGTTGTGCACGAAAACCTTGCACACTCTGGCCATATTGCGATGACGTTGACCATTCCTGTTCAGGAAACCCGCCATATTGAGAGGCAGAAAATGCAGGCGTAGACTGAGCATCGGGGAGTGAGGTCCCAGGGTGGCCAAATGCCATGTGCCGCTGGTTGTACGAGGAGGGGTGGAATCCACTTGCGGGGTTGCGAAAGTTAGTCGGCTCGGGCGGCATATACCCGACAGGTTGACGTGGAGGTGGGAGTGCGACCTGGGCAGGCTCTGGATCGTCTGTGAGCGGCAACGCGAAGAAGTCGTGCTCCTTCAGGAGCTGCGCGATCGTCTGTCCCTGGGATGGCTCTTGCACATCTTCATATGCCGCGTTGACATTGAGAGACTTCACCAGCTCCCTAAACAGGCATCAGTAAGCAGCACTCGCGAAGAAAGTAAGATAGTAAGGAACGACTTACCGCACGTAACCACCCAATGTCGATCGCAGCGTTTCCAGCCCCTGGCGAGCCTCATCTTCGGGTGGGGCACCAGACGTGACCTTCAGCTCCGCGAGAATTTCGTTGAAGATCGGGCGTAACAACTTCGCTTTGAACTTGACGTCGCTATACCGACTCTGAGCGAAGCGGCTATCAGGACCAGTGTACTCGATAGCGAAATCCACCTGCACGAAGCCATCAGCTTGCATAGATCATTGTAGTTTGCACCCAGTCACCAACGTACGGCAGAGGCCGCAAAGGCAATCGTGTTCAATGGTGCCTTCTCGTACTCGTCGACATACTGTAGCGTAATGTCTGAGTACTTAGACTCTATGAACATGGCACGCCATGCAGACGTTATCGCCTCGTTTTGGTAGTATTTGATACGTCTCTATTCCAGAATAGTAAGCATATAAATCTCATCATGAGAGCGAGCACGAACCTCGTCACGATCTATAACGTGAAGGAACATCTTGTATGTTCGAGGGCCGATCTCGGCGGCCATCAGAGATGTGAACCATCTGCGCCGCTGCGCCAGCGAATCCGTAGCCTGAAACTTGTACTTATCGACAGGGTAGTGTTCAACGACTTTCTTCAGAGTGCCTTTCATGGACGTGGCGTAGTCATCGATCTGACCAATGATCAGCCTTCTACAATATAGACATGATACCAAACTGACCGCTTTACGATGCTGGGTATGAAAGTATGGGACTGTACGGCGATAGTTAGCGTTGAAGAGGTGTGATAGAGCATGTTCTTACTGGTATCGTGACCAGCATCGCGAGCCTTTGAGTTCGCCACCTCAAAAGCTTGCTTTGCAAACTGCGAACGCAGACGACGTTCGGGAAAGAATCCAAGTGTAGTGGTCGCCATGTACAGCCAGTACAATTCGCGAGCATCGATCAAGATAGGTTCCTCAACCTCACGAGGAACCTCGGGAGGCGGCAGTCGCGCTCGCGGTTTGCGGCGGGACCTGCGGAACCCACGCGATTGGCGCCTCGAGGCAGTCGCAGAAGGGAGCGAGGTGGATGTTGCGGCGGGCGAGGCAGACGGCGACGGTGTCCCGCTGGCACGGGAATCGTGGCTCGGGGTACCACTACGCCCTGAGCTCTGACGCAGAGGTGGTGAACGGGATCGCCGTCGAGTAGTTGATGCGTTGGGGGAACGCGATCGGTGAGAACGTGACGAAGGCCGAGTGTTCGCTCGAGACCGGGAGTGCGAACCATCGAGACGGTTCGACCGCGAGCGCGAGTCGTGGCCGCGTGAAGAACCGCGGGATGCGGGACTGTCGTCGGAGTTGGACGAGCTACTCGAACTAGAAGAGCTTGAACTCGATCTTGTTCGGCTGCGGCCTCTACTGCTCGAACCAGATGCCGAGCGCTGCATACCGGGCGGGATGAAACTTGACGCGCGTGTGGCTTGCTGTGGGGCACCCGAGTGAGACCGCAACGCATGCGCGCCAAGAGCGGCCGCCAGTTGTGCGGGTGAAGGCCCCTGACGCGAAGCATTCGGGTCGAAAGGCCGTGCGTTCTAGGTATCGGGCGAATGAGTACATATCATGCAGCTCGACAGCTAGTAGTTAACCTACACGAACATTCGGCTGGGGCACTACGGGAGGGATAATGTTTGCAGGGCGCGGAGGTATGATAGGGCCGGATATGTCGACTTCGGGGCGACGACCAGCCTGAGGTTGAGTACGACCTGAGATGTTGACCAGTGGTTGCGAAGGCATAGAGTTGTGGAGCGCTAACTGGAGGGTCAGAATGTGTCTGGCCACTCTATATCTGAACGAGTGACCTTAAATAGTACCCGACCGGGTAGGCACAGAAGAGTTGGCAGGACCTCGCTCAACAAGCGTTCGGGAGCCGGTCTCGTACGTGTGCTTAGTCTGGTGTCGCACTCGTCATTAGAGGCTTGCTGAATTAGATAGTCTAGACCTACGTACTCGGTGTGTATAAAATGTACTCGCTGGTGCTGCGTCAGGAAACACGCAGCGTACTCGACGCATTTGACGTGTTCTGCAAATCTCCTCAGCGACATTTTTTTCGGACATGTATAGTTGCACGCATAAAAGCCCACCATGATAGGGCGCCATACGAGACCGGGGTGCCAATTGGGTACTGGTCAGAGAGTGAGTGCTGTCTATCGTGGTAGTTGAAGTTGAGTTGTGCGTCTGCGCGGGGCCGCGCGCACCGCCGCGCCGCGGCGACCGGAGACACTCTAAGTCCCACTTGCACGCGTCGAACGTCAACCACCATTCGCCTGCGCGCATCCGCACCCAGGATCGATCTCTTTCTATTTACCTAAACGATACGGCTCTGCGTACACCACTTCTGTGATGTTCACCACTCAGCAGTCAGGCCCCGATCCCCCCTTCAGATGCCCAAATCCTCAGTGTCCTGCTCGCTTCCACGACGAATCCCTCATTCTATCGCATCTCACATCCGACAGAAGCTGCACCCTTCAGGTGATTGACCAGTGGATGGCTGAAGGTCGCACTGATGCATCTTTCGGAGGTACGGCCACGACCGCAATCGTACTCTGAAAGGATTCGCGACAAAAGTGCTGATCCTTTGTCATAGCGTCTCAAGATAACTCTGGAAGTGATCGGTACGATGAGGGTGCGGGTGAAGAGGCTATGCCTACGGCTCAGCCTGGCCCGTCCTCGGCTAATACAGCCGATTCGCTGCAATCATCTCGGCGTGCAGCATTTCACGTCCACGATCCCATACCTGCCCCCGTACTCCCGGTTTCTGAGACCTCCCCATTGCCGCGCTTCGAGACACGGGATGATGGCAGGGCTACTGCTCACACAGTGCCACCAGGTGCTACCCGTGTTCTCCACGCGAATACCAGTGCTATCTGGTCAGGCGGGCCGGGGCATCTTTTGAATCAGGTCGCGAGTGATCCTTGCGTGCAGACGGGTATCAGCTCAGGGAACATCCACTACCCTTTTGCAAATCGTATGGAGTGGGAGCTTGCCCAGTGGCTCGAGACTTCTGGCCTTTCAGATGTTGATAAGGATCGGTTCTTGAAACTTGACTACGTCACCACACTTCAGGAGCATCAGATATCGTTTGCATCGGCTCGAGAACTGCGAATACGTGTTGAATCGTTACCCAAGACGCCACAATGGCATAGCATCGTGTTTGATATACCTGGATTTCAGACTGAGGAGCCCATGCAACTATTTTTCAAACATGGCATCGAGGTCATTGCGGCGATGTACGCCAATCCGATCTTCGCTAACTGCATTGACCATACTGCCTATCGTGATATACGGGACAATAACTTTGTTTGGGGTGAGTTCATGAGTGCCGATCTCGCCGATCATCTTCAGGTGTGTACGTCAAGTGCTACTATGGCGATATCTTTTGCTAATGAGTACCACAGTCCTGCCTACATGATGGCGAGACTCTTCTGGGTATCATCACTTCATCTGACAAGACTCCGCTGACGGTCGGGACGGGGAACAAGCAAATGTATCCCTTTTTACTTGGGCTTGCTAATATCCACGGTGCTGTTCGATTGAAGGCTAGCTCGCATGCATATAGTGTGGCCGCTTATCTCCCCACTCCGAAGTTCCGAAATGTACCTGCAGGTGTACAGAGTACCTTGGCTTCGCGTGTCTATCACTTCTGTGTCGACATCGTCACACAATCTCTCAAGGATGCATGCCGTCGTTCGCAGTTCCTGCCCGGGCCTGATGGCAAACTGCGCCTCTGCCGAACACCTCTTGTGGCAAGTGTTGATGATCGTCCAGAACAGGTTCTCATTGCCTGTACGATGCATAATCAATCGTCTGTGACTCATGCCACTTCGAAGCAGTTTGGCGATGGTAAACTGTACCCGCCGCGCACTCGCAATGATACTCTGGCCCTGATCAATCAGGCTATATCGGAATGCCCAGACGTGAATAACATCCCGCGCTTTTATCGAGTATGTCAGCGGCTCGGATTGAGTGGTGTTACCGATCCGTTTTGGCGCGACTGGGGGTCAGACGACTTCTATATGGCTTGTCCATCAGACTTTCTGGTGCCTGAGCTCCTTCACACTGGTCATAAGTTCTTCTGGGATCACCCTGTGAAGTGGGTCAAGCAGCTTATGAAGCAAGATAACGAGATTGACTTCCGTCTCATGGCTCTCCCACTACGAACGGGGATACGCAGCTGGTCAAACGGCATCACCGGCCTCAAGCAGGTGACAGGAGCTATGCATCGAGATATCCAGCACGTACTTGCCCCGATAATGCATGGAAGCGAAAACGTACCTTATGGTGTATACACCGCAATTCTCCTCATGATTGAATATCTACGAGACTCGCATAAAGATAGCTATGGACCAGATGACTTAACCAGTCTCACTGCTTTGATCGACGCCTTCCATGTGTACAAGAATGCTATTCTCGAAGCGAAAGCTCGCCGGGGTGAAAAGGGGAATGTGCTTGAACACTTCGAGAACATACCCAAACTCGAGCTTCTTCTAGGGATAGTGCCCAGCATACGTCGTTTGGGGGCAATCTATCCTTACACAGCCGATGCAACCGAACGTACCCATCAGCATTCAAAGTTCTTCTTCCGCCACACCAATAAGGCCGCGAACTATCGGCAACAAGTTGCTCAGCAGATGTATAGACAGGACTGTTTACGACAATTCGATCTCTTTCTTTCCTCCTGGCTTGATGATGAAGCCCGGCCCATTGATCCATCATTCGATCTGACAGAATACGCCCAGGAGCTGATCTTACAAGGCTACCCAGAGAAAGCATGGCGCTCTCAGCATGGGTTAGCATCGATGTCAGTCCGATCTCGGGTGTCTCTCTTCGCATCTGGGTGGTCATTCAATCTCAACACTTCCCATGCCACGGCTGTGAGTCTCCGAAGCACCCCGCACTATCCCGAAATGTCCCTTGTTGAGGCTGCGAAGCGTTGGCGGATTCCCGACATGCTCTCGCTACTCCGTCATCATGTACCAGGGGATAGGATACTCGGCATCTCCCATCTTAACATCTGGGTCGATGTGCACTTTCAGGCTCGATCAAGATCTAACTCTCGCATCATCCTACCTGCTCAGAGGATTGCAGCAGAGCCTATCAGCAAAGATCTTCCATATGGTCTATGCAACACCATACTCATCGGTACAACAGTGCAAGCTATGGCTCCAGCAACACCATATCGTTGTGCCTTGACTACGGAGCCAAGTGATGAAGGTAAAGAAAAGCTTTTCTAGTGATATAAGCCAGCAAAGTGCTGATACAATGACTGCAGTCTACATGATTGGTCAAGTGCGATGCATATTTAGGCCAGTTGTGGGTGGGACGAGCCTCGTTGAAGCTCTCGACCAGCCTCTCCTCTACGTCGAGGTGTTTGAATTCCTGCCTTTCGAGCACCATGATTGGCGAGTACCACTTGCACCGCGACCTGATACAGGGATGTATCTCGTCCAACGGAGTTTGAAAGACACGGGCGGACGAAGGTCTTTCCTTGTATCTCTTCCTTCGATACGTGGGGCTGTCGACCTTGTCCCGTACTTCGGTCCTCGTGCGGATCGTAACTTGAATGCCCATAATAGCCTCGAGTTAGCGCAATTCTTCCACGTCAATCATTTTTCATCCAGATCCAATACCACCACGACCTTCTCAAAGACCTGATACTGTACTTGGCGTCTTCTCTGTAGTGTACTGTACTGGTAATGCAACCGTATTGCATCGAGACTCGCGACATGACGGTTCGGAACAAGGCATGTGATCGCGCGCGCTGCGCGTCATGCCGCGACCGCGTTCGAGTCTCCTCGAACGTCCATGAGCTCACTAACCGATACCTCCCGTGCTCTACCTAATCCTCTTAACTGTAGCTGCTATCTGAGAAGAGTGCTATACGAGTACGCTGAGTACTCATTTCTACTCTCTACCAACGATGCTGACCCTGCCAACAGACTTGAAGTTGCATGCTGTCGGACGATAATCCCTGTATGCAAGGGCGAATGCGGACATCTGTGAGCGTATCTCGCTCAGAAGTAAAGGTTGAATTACTGAATCAACCCATGATTTTCCTCGTACTCGTAGGAAGCACGGGTCTTGACCGTAGACATGACCGTCACTCAACGCGACGTGCGCGCCAACTGCAACACGTCACCGCTCATTCCCACCGACACCGGCACCTGCCCCACCCCGCATTTCGACCTCTGGTGCTCGCAATTGAGGAAACGCTCTCAGTAACCGTCTTCATAGGTGGCTGGTTAGCACGAGCAAGTCGCCGCCAAATGGCATCGCTCATCGAGCTCTTCGCCTGCGGTGCTTTTACCACCTATACCACCCATGCATCTCAATCCGAGTCTCGCTTTTCCATCGATAGCTCGTAGAGGGGTTGTTCTCATGACTCTTTGAGTGTGAAATGGGCATTGGGTGAACCGACATGCGTTATCATGCGCCGCTTCAGCGAGTTTCGTCACACGTCCAACCAAAGCTGTCGTCGGTCAATCTCGATGGTATGCCCCACGCCATCCATCTCGATTTATGCACAGTAACTCATTGTCTGTTTCTTCCGCAGGGCCTGAACTCTTCGCTCATACTGTCTACACACAGTTGACGCTGCTGGTAGGTGAGTTCGCACTTACAGTCTCAGATGTCCATTTATTGCAGCAGCCGAGCCATATGTCTTGCGACGAAGCGGTACGAGACTGTGGCGTGATAATGTAGATGTCGTATGGCTCTGGCGAATAGGGCGTGCAGGGTTTTGTTGTACTCATCCTTGTAGTGATTACCATACGTCCTCTTCCCGAGGCTTTGTACCATAATCAGGTAGCACATCACGATGGCGTGTAGAGTCTCTTCAAGTATCCATACAGTGTGATGGCTTTCCGAGCACAAAAACGCCGAGGCTGGCAGAGGCAGCGCGACGCTGGTGGCCCGACCTTCCAGGCATAAATGAATTTATATAATAATTTACGGTTGCCTCGAGCCGGTTGGGCCGGTCCACGGCGACGCGTTGCCGCCTGTTGCCGCGCTTGACGCGCGTTGCTATGCTACAACTTTCGTTAGTTTTCTAGAGAGCGCTTGGCAACGCTTGACGCGCTTGGGCGTCTACGCGCGCTAGAGTTTCTCACTCGCGCTTTCACGCGGTGGAAGGTTTACTGATGT